AAAACTTGATTTTAGAGGTGCCTGGGTAGTCCAGTCCGTTGAGCAACTGACTCTTGATTTCCAGGCAGGTTATGATCTCATTACCATGAGATTGAGCCCCAGATGGGGCTCAGTGCTGAACGTGGAATCTGCTTGGGATTCTCTCTCTCTCCCTCTGCCTCTCTCCCCTCTCTCCCTCTCTCTCTCCCTCAAGGTAAATAAATAAACTTAAAAAAAAAAAAAAACTTGATTTGAATGGAGAGATGGGGTGAGTGAGCCTTCTCCTTACATAATAAGTTTAGCTGTTTAAGGTTTGTTTATCTTTGTAACAATGATATTGTTATGGGATTCATGCCCTGTGGTTCCAAACAGAGCATGTGTTTAATATCTGACTTCACAGAAAGTGAGGTTGCGTTTCCTAAACTATGATATTCTTTGTATAATATGAACCTTTGTAGAAAATGTGATCTTACTCAGATGAATAATATAAACGCTAACAGAAACTATCAAAGTTTTATAATTTCTGACTCTGATTAGAATCTTTTTTATGAATAATAGGGCTGGGAGATACAATTTACTTCTCTTTTAGCTTAACTAATATATACTTTAATACTCGAAGGACTGGTATGTTGTAGACTGGAAAACTTGATATACTTTATACGCAAATCTACATGATAAAGTAATATTACAATTGGAATAGTGAGAGAATATAACCATTGAACAGCCTTTGTTAGACAGGGTGGTAGCCTATAGGACACATTTAATAATACAATAACGAAGCACAAGTACCCACCTTAATATGCAGATATATATCTCTTATGTTTATATGAATGCTCATAATTTACAAGCCACTTGTGCTCTTACTTACTTGATCCTGAAATCGATCTTTCCCGGTGTTCTATCCTGTTGTACCCATTTTTCAGCTGAAAAAACTGAGCTAAAGTCTGAGTATCTTATTAAGTGGCCAAGGACACAGCTAAGAAGAGACAGACTGGGACCCACCCAAAGCCAACACTCTCTCCACATCTCTGCACCAGCACAAAACAGAATCCCAAATAGCATTACACTATAGCATAAACATATCTCATGATTTTACACATGTATTTTATATATAATATATAGAACACACACACGTGTGTGTGTGTGTGTGTATTCATTGTAGATCAGAGCCCAACTTCTTCCTCTAGAAATGTATATCTGATATGAAATGAGAATTAAGGGAATAATAAGTTTCAATCAATGCAATTCATTTTACAGATAACTTTTGAGGAATCTCACCAAGGGATACACGTGACTATGTGTGTAAGATGGAAAGCTTCCAGGAGTACTATTTCACTTATTTAGCCATTATTTCCAATGTGTCAAAAACTAATTGATACAGAGTATAACTTCAATATCCTAATATAGCTAAGACATTTCCTACAACTCAATTCACCATGATAACGAGCTTGAGAGCACACCCAACAGCTATGTGAGCAAAAGATAAACAACTAGAAGTTTACAACTACACATTTTTGTTATGGGTCTTAACATTTTTACTGGACTAAAAGCACAGTATGATCAAATACTTCTGCGAGCTTCCTCTGTTAGAGGTACTGTTTGTGAATATAATTAGATTCATTAAACCCAACCAGGCAGTGTATTAATCAGTAGGCTAGAATGGCAGACAATGTGATAGAAACTATTTATCTATGACATGTTTAATATTTTACATTAATACAGAAAGCTGTTGCTTTGGCATATAATCAGATAAACGTGAGGCCAGCAACAAATAATGTGAACTGCTCCCACTCAAATTAACGTTTCACCCACACCCACATAACACTTCTCACAAAGCCATCCAAGTACCGAGAACACCTTTGGAATATGGATGATGAAAACCATCATGGAAGCCAACTGAAGAATCTGGCTTGACAATGTTCTTCTGACTAGTGAATCAGCCCACAAAGACCCACCGTACCACATCTTCGACGAAAGTGCTGGATTCAAAAATACGCCTGAATTCTCTTGGTATTTCCTGCTCTGAATGGTAATTCAGAGGTAACTCATTCTCTGTATGCGGTGCTCCAGTTTAAGTACTCTCAACTATGTGGCATCTTTCGAAAATAAAAATCTTTATTAAAAATAAAAACTTTCGGAAAGAGCAATGCTCACATCACCAAGTCTGCACTACAGAAGTAAAAATAATGTTCACACAGAGAAACATTAACAAATGGATGTTCAAATCATCTGCAGACAGTCATGAGAAAAAGAAGAAGGAGCATTTTTGGATGTTCAAAATGCAACAGTTCTAATTTTAGTTCAATTGTCTTGTTAACCAAATGCATTAGTCCATACCAAGTACACCTGACTTTATGGACAAGCAAATGACAACAAATTAGTGTAAATGAAGTTTTATTGTTTTCTTATATAAGGAAAGTCTGATGAAATGACTCTAGAGAACTCTCCAGCAACACTACATTGATGCATACTGTGTCAAAGAGAACTCTGATAAAGCACTGTGGAAAGGAGCAAGTTCTGTAATATTTTCAGGAAAGCACTGCATTTTCAATTATATGTCAAAAGTAATGTTATATTTGAGAATACGATACCTTCATTTTTAATTTTAAAGGTCATTATGAAAGTGACATTATCCTCAGAAATTATTTAACAAAACTATAAATTGCATTTTCCAACTAATTTCATTTGAAATTCATTTTCTCGCCAATGAACCATTTCACTGGGAGAAAGCCTTGGCTTGTGTTCCACTGTGGAAGATGTAAAGTTGATGGAAATATTGTAATTCGACAGTGCATGACTTTTATTACAAACAATGACAACATCAGTGACATCTATAATGATTAGGTTGTACAACTACACAAACATTCACCAAATGAAATAACTCCTTTCCACAAGACGATGATAATTTTATTAGCGCAACAACCTCATGTACTTACTACGACTGCCATTCGATCAGGTACTACCATTTTCAACCAACAGTATAACATAAAACTCACATATGCAGCACACGTAGTTTTACTCATGCTCATCGGCGCCTGTCTGCGTACACACATAGGCACAGAACAGTATTTGCTAGTCCTTTAAGAATCACGTTTAAAACTGAACAGCAGACTCCAAAGGAAAAGAAAAAAAAAGAAATGTCTCCCTCAGTTATTGGTTCTTTTTGGAAGAAATCTTATGTTAAAACAATGCCACGAGCACAATAGTGTGTTTGAAGTGCTCTTGGAAAGTTTTCTAAACATGTAGAAGGTGAAACTAACACGACACAGGTAAAGCTAATCACACCGCTGAGTTAACTCAAGCCTTACAGAGCTTCCTGCAACGCTGAGACGTGTTAGCTGTATAATTAAAGGCCTCCCAAATTTCACCATCTAACTCTAGATACAAGCATCTTCATTCAAGTCCTGAGATCCTGTGGCCCACAGAGCTGTAGGGATGCCACTGAACACTTCCCCCAAAAGCATGCAACATGGATTCTGCATGTGGCAAAGAGAATTTAGGGCAGCGTAAAAGCACCCAGTCCACGTCTGAGGATGCCCGCCCCTGTGTGTCATACGTCTCCTAGAACGAGCCCCTGAAATCATGCACAGGTTCATCCCTGTAATTCTCCATGAGTCATATCAAACACTTCATGGGATTTTAGAAGCGGTGCCGCTTGAAAGCCTTTTAATCCTGTGGGTGAATTACTAACTGCAAAGAGCTGAACAGGAGTACCGCCGGACGCTGAGCTCCTGATGGAAGGATGCACAATGCGAGAACTCCTGGGTAGTTGGACCACCTCCCTATTTTCATGGAAGTCGTTGCAGAAAATCGCAAGCGTCTTACACACTGGTCACATAGTTCCAAAAAGTGAAAAATCTAAGCACGCCAGGCCCACAGTACGCTCGTAAGATAGCCCTTTTCTAAACCAACATATTTGCCCGACAGCATTAGGCATGCATGTTAACAACACCTTTCAGGGCCGAAGCAAATCAGCTCAGTTCAGCCGAAGCGCCCAAGGGGACGAAACATCTCGGAACCACAACGCGCCCCTCTTTTCCTTTATTTGCACACCCTTCGCTACCCCTGCATGGACCAACGAAACACAACTTTGGGCATTCGGGAAGTGGCTGTCCTTTGTTGGAATCGCACACGCACACGCACACACCCCAAAAATCCCTGAGACTGCTTTCCTACCCACGACCAGGGAGGCTGCACCACCTCTCCGGCGACTTAATTCCGAACGCAGTCGCTCGAAGCAGCTGAGCAGCAATCGATGAGAACACACCACACGCCAGAATAAGGGGAAGGTCGGCGAACAAGAAACACAGCGTTGCCTTTCAGCCATTAATTAACCGATCTCCCCCCCCACCCCCCCAAATATCGCATCGCAATCTCGCACACATGCACAGCGTTCCAAACCTGGGTCTCAGGCGGCGCTTTCCAGAGCCTCGCTATCTATTGTCAGGACGCAGAAGCCCCCGAAACCTGTGAACCGAGCTGAAAAGGCTTCCTCTGAAACCGCTAAATATAGACCAAAGGGGCTCCGGGTCTGGCAAGCAGCGGGAGACGGAAGACACGGCCATGGACGCATATGACTAAGTATTTCCATTTTGTTCTAGCCAAACATCGTAATGACATTGAACATAAGGGCAAAAGACTAGAGGGAAGTCCTCCCCACCCCCACCCCGTCTTCTCCGTCTATTGGGGACGTCATGAAGGCAACGGGTAGTTCTCCAGGGTGGCGGGGAGCAGCCTTGTGGATGGTGCCCTACATACGCCTCCTCCGGGGGAGAGGGGCGGCGGGAGGGGAGCACGCACGAAGCCACTTGCTAACCGCTCCGAGAAAGCCACTAACCCTGGTCCCCACTCCAGGCACAGCCGTCTTCCGAAAGGGGACCGGGCGCGATCGCGGTCCTCCCCCGGCCGGGCGCGGAGGACCAATCCCCCGCCGGCGGCGAGGAGGAGGAGGAGGGGGGGGGGAGGACGGCGCCGAGCAGGAAGATGCGCCCGGCCCCGGCAGCCCGGCGAAAGCCACTCACCGAACGGCGCGGCGCCCGGCTGCTTCCTGGAGAACATGCACCCGCCAGCGGCGACGGCCCCTCAGTCCCGGGAAAGGCGTGCGCGCCGCCGCCCGGCTTTCAGGGCAAGGTCCTGACCTTGCCCAACTGCAGCATCTTCCGCTTTTGTTGTGTGAGCGCGGCCGCGGGACGGGCGAGGCTGGCGGGGAGCAGGGGCGAGCGCCGCGGGGGAGAGGCGGCTCCCGACGCGAGTGCGCGGCGCCCGGCCCGGCGGCGCCTCCGAGCGCGGCGAGCGCAGCGCCCCCTGCCCGGCTCCGCGGGCTGCGCGGGCTCCTCCAGGCTCCTCGGGGCTCCGGGCGCCGCCGCCGCCGCGCCCGCCGCTCCGCTCGGCCGGCTGCCGCCGCGGGCGCGAGCCTGGGGCCGCCGCGGCGCCCGGCGCCGTGCGCTCCCGTGTGCTGCGCCCCGCGCGCGGCCCGCGCCACCTGCGCCGCCGCCGCCGCCGCCGCCGCCGCCGCCGAGGGCGAGGCTCCTCCCGCGGCGCGCGGCAGCCTCAGCCTCCACCTAAGCCTCCGCGGCCGGCTCGGGCGCCCGGCTAGTGAGGCGGCGTCCGCCCCGCCGCCCGAACCTGCCCTGGGCGCCGAGCATGCCCAGTGCCGCCGCGGCCGCGCGGCGCTTCGCCCTGCGCATTCCACTTCTCCTGGTTTTCGCGGCAGCAGCGGCAGCGGCAGCAGCAGCAGGGGAGAGGGGAGGAGGCCGCGGGTTGGGAGAGGGCCGAGCATCCTGGCGAACGCGCCGCCCGGCCTCGAGATGGGTGGGTGCTCGCCACCTGGCGAAAGCCGGAAGGGGCCTGGGGAAGGCCTGGAACCCCCGGGCGGGCCGGTTCTGTCGTTCACGTGCAAAAAGCCGACAGTTGATTGGGGGGGGGGGGGCAGATGCCAGCCTGCAAACAAAGGGGCAGGGGCGGGGCGGGGGGGGGTTCTAGAATAGCTAGTGTGTGCGTTGGGGGCAGGGGGCAGGCTGAAATGTGCACGCTCCTGGGTGGAAGCGGGTGTTCCGAAACCCTGTTCTAGAGCAGAGACAGCAGGACACCCATCTGCGGGCTGCACCACAGCGCCGGTCCACTTTCTGGCACCTTCGGCACTTAGGGGAAACCTGTTTTGCGCAGATGGAGGGACTTTCCTCTTAAACCAAATCCCTCTGGTTTGGAATCTGGAACGTATGTAACCCCACTGCCAGTCTGGAACTTGCATAGACAGCACGGACAAGTTCGCCTCCTCTTGAGCCCCCTCTCGTGTCTTCCTACTTCCTACCTCGGCACCAACTCCCCTTGCCCGAGCTAAAATGGAAACCTCCCCACCTGCTCCTTCTGCATAGTTTGCCATTGGCTTGCGCATTGCCCTCTTCACTTTCAGATTGGTTTTCGGTCTCACCCCATGGTGTGACAGCTCCTCGACTCCGACTCCATCGAGACTTCTCTAGACCTCGCCTGCTGTGAAATACAGCAAGTAGATTCACCCCGTGGTGAATGATGAAAGGACTGTTACAAAACAAGCCCCAAGTTATGTGCCTAGAAATTCCTCTGGGCCTTCACCTGTGTCCCTCTGTTTCAGAAATCATGACAATCACGACGGGGCCCGCCGCGTGCTGCAAAGGACTTGGGCCGCCAGACTGCAGCCCACCCTGAGCCAGAGGCAAACCTGCCTCCTAATCATGCCCCAGCTCGCTGCCTCTGACCCTGTAGATCCCAGACTGTCTGAGGCTGTGATCCTCTCCATCCCACCCCTCCCCCGAGCTGGTCTCTGAGACACAGATAAGCAGGGAAGAATACAGAAAATTGTCATCAGAGGGATTTGGGGGGCTTATGATTCTTCCCCACAAAGTGCTTCTCTTTTGTGTCAGAAGAGATTATCCAAGAAAGTCAAATGACTTGAATATTTATCCGGGTTTGTTCTCTGCTGTACTTTGGAGCATGCTAAGGTATTATGTGAAGTAAATGCAATGGGAGAAAAAAACAAAACAAAACACAGTATTAGACACGTTAAATAGGTAGAAATAAATGCAAGGAGCAGCATATTAAGGCAAGAGCTTTGAACAACAGTGCACATGTTTGTTTTTAATCGTCCCAACCCAGGGTTCCAGGTGCCTGCATAAGCTTGGTCTCACCTCCAAAATTAGTGCTCTGACCTGGCTTCAATTTTAAAGCTGGCTTCTTATTAAAATACGTCTGAACCCTGTGAGAGAAGACACGGCAGGGCCATTTTTCTGCACATGTTGAACCATATTTTTTATTTTAGTCCTCAGAAAGGCATCCAATTACTGCAGAGTACTTGGTACAAGACAAATTAGCAGTACCGTATCCATTAGGCCACATTATATTTTAAAAGATGCTCTGTTCTCACCTTAGCTTTGGGCGGATTTGGGAGGGGTAAAAAGTTTTCTCTGTACTTCTCTTCACATCTCTTAATTCAGGAAGTCATGGTGGGGAGGAAAGGGAGGTGTTAAGAGGAAGTTAGTTACACTTTGGATTAAATTTAAGGTAATGCATAAGTATTATCCATGGGAAATATACATGTCTTCTTTGCCTCTAGAGATCTAAGTTAAGAAAATAATTTTTTTTAAGTTTTTTAGAGTTATTTTTGAACTGAGCGACAGCAAAACCTATTCACTAATTGTAACCCTTGGAAATAACTCGTAGGCAGTCCCTATAAGCTTCAATAGAGGGTGGGTGCGGTGACTATTTAGGAAGGGCTGTGATGCCCTGAACAATTTTGAGTTGCCCCATTTCATTGGTACGGTTATGATTTCTATTCATCTAAAATCATTTATTACTGAAGATATTATTTTTTATAGTTTATTTTTGAGACAGAGAGAGACGGGACATGAGTGGGGGAGGGTCAGAGAGAGAGGGAGACACAGAATCCAAAGACAGGCTCCAAGCTCTGAGCTAGCCATCAGCACAGAGCCCTGCACGGGGCTGGAGCCCATGAATCGCGAGATCATGCCCTGAGCTGAAGTCGGACGCTCAACCGACTGAGCTACCCAGGTGCCCCATGAAGATATTATTAAATACACAATTAGATAATATTGAAAAATAAAGTAAAACGACTCACTGCTGCCATCTTTTGCCTCCTGTATCTGAAAGTTCCTATACAAAGGAACATTCTGAATTCCCTAATTTCACTAGGAGACCAGAAAATGACTGGCTTATTACTTTCAATTATTGCACCTGACACTAATTGAGAAATTTTTGTTGTGTTTTTCTGTTTATATACCAAAAGAGTTACAGGATGCAGAAATCATATCTAAATACTAAATGCTGTATCTCTTGATTTTTTGAATCAGTTCTCACATTTTGATACAAATATCTTTTTCTATGGAACTTAATTTTAGACATGAAACCCAATAATCCAAAATATTTTTGCAAGTACATGTATTGTATTTTATAGTTCAAAATATGCCAATTTTAGGAGAGTGAAATGCTTGATTCAAAGCAATTTAAACCTGGCAGGATAGTGTTTGGTTGAGGTTCAACTAGAAAGATAATATTCTTGTAGTTTTTAAATGATTTACCGATTGATAAACAAATGGAAATTTCTCAAGTTGTGAAATTAAGCTATGTGAGTGATTGTTGTTGCTGCCCTGCATTTAAAGAGGGAAAATAATGATGCTCTTTTAAAGTTCACGATTTAAATTTTAAATTTAGAAGTCGTCTCATTATGTATATTATATATACACATTTGGGAGGCTAGTAAACACTGCCTGTTGTTGATCCTAAAAGATAAGCGTTTGTTACTGGACAACATTACTCTGTTTTCAAAGACTTTCAAAGTAGTTACAACTGTTTTGAGTTAACCATTTTAGTTAAGATCAATGTGTGGGTCATTTCACAATTTGATGGGTAACTTCACACTTTCACAGAAACTTCTTTTCACTCATATGATTGTCACTCATATGATGGTATCACTCATTCATTCATTCATTTATCAGCAGATGTTTGAGTGTCTGGTTCAGACACTGGTAAAATTAGGAGAATCAATAGCAAACAGTAGACAAAATGACAGATCCCTATCCTCAGGGAGTTTATAATCTGGGATTGTGAGATGAGAGAAGAAGAGGAAGCACACATAGGAGGTAATTACACTCAAATCTTTTCAGTTCTTTCTGAATGTCTATATGCATTAGGGCATTGATGATTCTTTATTCAATTCCTTTTCTTCAATGTTTTCTCGTTGTTGCCTCTTCAAGGGAATTTGTTTTTTGTTTTTGTTTTTGTTTTTATGTCAGGACATAGGTGGCATGGTGAGGGGTCAGGTTCTAAATGCTGAAGCAGAGAAAGAAGAGAAAGAGAGATAGTGTGTTTGGTGAGAGCTGGTGTTCTTGGATATACAATGGAATGGAATACATGGAGTCAGACTGAATGAAGGCATCAGAGACCAGTGAGGGGTCCAGTGAAGGCCTCTACGTTATCAAAAGTCACAAACATCTAAATTCAATGTAGGCTGCTCAGGCATAGAGAAGGTCAAGCATTATTGATCGGAATTGGACAGGGGGTCAGAAGTCTAAGTCGACAGGCATTGACGATTGCATATGCAGGAAGAAGACATCAAATTATAGAGCCAGGCACAGAATCCTCATAACAAATATTAGCAGCAAGGAGAAATAAGCTTTGTGCTATGATTTAATGTATCAGCAATGCTTATAGATTTAATGAGCTTCTTCCACTGAATGAAGAAATTGACTCCCCAGATTGACCAGCTTGGGGCCAAAGACAGGAATAGGAAGCAACAACAGCATAAAATAAGACCCAAACAATGGAGCAAGGGAGTTCTTATCAGATTTATGCAGTCTTCCTAGATAAATTTTAAGGCAGACTGATTTAGTATTGAATTTCATCAACAAAATGTCAGTTTTTATACCAAACATCTAGGTTAATGATTCTTAATGGAATCATTACTGCCTCCTCAGGAGGTAGTTTAGAAATGTGTGAAAGGGTATTTTTCTTTTATTGTCATTAACATTCAATGGTCACAAGCCACACATTGTAAACATTCTGCAATATATGAAACAATCCTACAGGAGGGAAGAATTGCCTGTAACCTTCTCGGCTTTCGAGGGTGCTACAATCATCCGCAGTGTTAAGAACCTGTTCAGAAGCATT